ATAAGAAACCTGCTGGGAGCTACAAAAATCTACAGAAAGCTAACAAACAACTAACAAAAGCTAAAAAAGGCTAACGCAGCAACTGTGCAGCAAAACAATCCAACAAGGCCTTCAAGAGCATGAACTGGCAACAAAAAGAAAGTGCCTCATTATGAGGCAGTCCACCCTTAGGCCCGCGCCATGTTTGGAAGAACGTTTACTTGGGCGGCTGGGTGGCTGGGTCGCTTGCCTTCGTCCCCAAGATACGTTCAGTTGCTTGCGCGTTGAACGCACGAACGGCAAGATCACGACGGAGCCGGGCCTCTTACAAAGCACCTATGGAGACACCGCAGAACAATCCCTAGTCTTCGCTGGCCCCTAAACTGCTCGCCTGGCCATTTCTGCAAACATGTTACTGCTTCTCAGCTAAAATGCTCATGGCGCGCGATGGTTTTTGTGTCACATTTCACGCATTAAGGCAGCCCAGCGTGACAAAAGTGTTTGCAGCCTCCCCCCCCCAAAAAGAAAACCTGCTGAAGTTTACAAAAAGGCAACAAATGGCGCCAAAAGCTACGAAAAGCTAACAAACTCTAACAAAAGCTAGCAAATGCTTTAAAAAGCTAACAGATTCCCGATTTTGGGCCCCGCCTCGTCCGGGCCATTTTTGGAAGACAGTAGCACACTTTAAACATATTAAAAGGAAAGCGACACTGACCCCAATACTCCCACCTTGAAAATGCACCCCTTGTCCCTCAAATAGGATCTGGCGGCTGACGCCCGTCATGTTGTTGCTCACACGCCGCTGCTTGCGCAGACTATGGTCGGCAAGGCGCATACCAGCATTTGGTGTTGCGCATCAACCAAGGTGAATATTAGAAACAGTTCCAGCAGCCAGGGTGCAAACGCAATAGCGCGTTCCAGCAACACATCGACTACGCGACCCATCATAGACACGGCGCAAACCCAAGCAAAACACGGAATGGAAAAAGTTAGCATTTTTCAGCTCCCCTAACCTTTGGTTTTGTGCCAAAGCAGGGTGTTTCAAAGCAGGTTGTAATAAGTATCTAAGATGTGTCTCTGTGTCTGTCTTTGTCTCTGTGTCTGTCTGTGTCTCTGTGTCTGTCTGTGTCTCTGTGTCTGTCTGTGTCTCTGTGTCTGTCTGTGTCTCTATGTGTGTCTCTGTGTCTGTCTGTGTCTCTGTGTCTGTCTGTGTCTCTGTGTCTGTCTGTGTCTCTGTGTCTGTCTGTGTCTGTCTGTGTCTGTCTGTGTCTCTGTGTCTGTCTGTGTCTCTGTGTCTCTGCGTCTCTGTGTCTGTGTGTTTGTCTGCGTGTCTCTCTGTGTGTCTCTGCGTGTCTCTGTGTGTCTCTGTGTGTCTCTCTGTGTCTCTCTGTGTGGGGTGTGTGTGTGTGTGTGCGCGCAACCTGTTCCTAAGGGGTCTTCGGGTTTTTGCGAGTTGGACGCCACCACAGCAAACGACTTGACGTTCAGTACCTCAGAACATCCCGGACTGCAAAGAACCCGGGCAACGCTCAATTGGTGCACTACTCCAAATCGAAGTCAGTGCCTCCTCAGCGCCGTGAAAGGCGCAGATCACGATCTCCACCGCCATCCCGAAGGGCCCAATCCTCGGAGCACCCCGGCAGCGCCGACCGACGCGGCACGATCTCACCGAAAGCCACTTCCTCGCTCTCGCAGCCGAGATCCTTCGGCTCCCTCGCGCCCTTTTACTCCACCTGCGGCCACTACCCGATCGACCACCATGTCAAGAACCTGCGACTCCCATGGCAACTTCCACGGCATCCACCATCACCACGCAACACCTCCCTGGTTCTATCCCGAACCCGCACGCAGTCTGACTCGTGGCGATCACAGCTTCGCAACATGGCTTTGGTATTTATCAAGCAAGGGATCCCGGTCAACCTGCCTACCCCTTCAACTCCGCACTGGTTTATCCTTCACGCTCCCTACTTGGGAAGGACGGTGCGCCTTCGGGAGCCCACAAAGGAGCGACCTATGCTGTTCTGGAGCCATGCAAGCAGCGTTGGTGGCACCCGCGACGTCTTGCGCACCCGCACCATTCAGGGAGCAAAGCTTTCGGGCTACCAGCAGCATGGTGACGAGGAGTCAGCAAGAATCATGTCATCCAACTGGACCATGAGCTTCAATCAAGCGCAACTCCTGATTTGCGGAAGGGCAGTGGAGAAGTCATCGACGCGGACGCTGCTGTAATCCCAGAGGCCAATCGGATCATCGGCCTCTCTTGGCCGGTTGATGCCGATCCACACTCAGGCCTTCTTCATCGCCATTGAACCGACCATCGCCATTGAACCGACCCTGCAATCACCTCTGGACAACTGCAACTGGGGGATCCTATGCTACCCTGCCCCCTTTGATGTGCTTTGCGAGAAACGGAATAGCAGATATCTTTACTGCGATACACTATTACCTCTTCGCCGCGCAGAGTCCATTTTGCGACAAAAAGCACGCTCGGCCGCTCACGTACAACTTTTCTTTTTGGTGTGCGCGTTTCCTGTCTTTTTGTTTCCTTCTCCTTTCCCTTTTCTTTGTTTCCCTTTCTTTTTCTTTTTCTCTTTCCCTTCCTGTCTTGTTCTTTTTCTTCCTTTTTCCTTTCCTTTTTTCTTGTTCTTGTTCTTGTTCTTGTTCTTCTTATTATTTTTCTTCTTTTTCTTTTTCTTTTTCTTTTCTTTTTATTTTTCCTTCCTCTTCTTGTTTTCTTCCTTTTCCCTTCCTCCCTCCTTTTTTCTTGCCTGTTCTGGTTCACCCTGGCGAACCCCTGGCAACAGTTTCTGGCGTCGGTTCTTTTTCCATCAGTGTGCATACTGGTTTCAGTGCCTTATGTTCAAGCACCAGTTGCCCAATCCTCGTTCGACGCCCTCAATGGCGTCACAGTGGCCGTGCTCATCACCAGCATCTCAGAAACTGCCACATGGTCGGTTTCTCAGGATCGACCGCCCATGCCACCGTGACCATGCCGAACTCCTATGCTACTCCACCACTGGAGCCAACCACCCCCACACCCCCAACCACCCGCACCCCCAACCGTCCAATCCGCGAGCATCGACTGACCACCACTTCCTGCTCCTGCTGCACCAGCCTATCCAGCTCAGGGTGTCCGCTACCAACTCGCCGGCTGCTCCGACAGGTTCCTCGCCCTCCTACCTGCCTCTTATTTCCGACTACATTTGAATCAAATCACAACTTCTTGATCAGCGTGAAGTTCGAGGTCTCCAGCTCTTTTGGTACATCCAGCCCTATGGTCACGCCGCGCCGGCCTCTGCGGAGCACCAATCCCGTTGGTTTGCCTGCTCTGACAAGGTGCCGAAGACTACTCGCTCCACTGCTTGTTGAATGGACGCCTATCAAACACCCGTGATGGCTCGCTCCATGGCCGAAACAGTTCTCCTCACCAGCGCCAAGCAACAGAGCATGAGCAAGATAGCATCCCTCGACCAGACCATTGCGCGCTACATGAGCTCACACCCGAAAAACAGCCTCGTTCAACCCCTACACCAGATTTTACAACGACTTCAGCGCCTTCGAGCCTCCTACACCAGTGGTACCTCTTCCAGTTCCGGAGCAAATTCCAGCCCCCAACAAGATTGAAAGTCCAAGGCCCCAGACGCCGAAGCCAAGATCACCATTGACCCAAGCTCCTCCGGCAGGGCAACCCCAAAGCTCTTCCTTCGGCCCTCACCGTCAAGGTTAAGACCTGGGTGCAAGAACGTACACTATCTAATCAGTCCATTTACCAGGACCTCGTCTGGCGACAGCTCAAAGAGTGAGGGATAGCAAATAGTCACGGCCGGGCCAGCTGTTTCGCAACCCTCGCCGGAAAAAGCAGCAGAAGCTCTCATCGGTGCGGATTTGGTTCCTTGTCTTTTGTTCGGTTCCCTGTTGTTCGTTTCGGGTTTGTCGCTGTGGTTGTTCCCCGGGTTCTGAGTTTTGAGAAACTCGACTTGTGTGTGCTTTACGTTCGGCCTTCCCTTTCAAAAAGGAGGGCAATTTTTTTATGATTTTTTGTTTTTTGTAGGGTTTTTTTGTTTTTTCAGGGCGCGTGGCTTTTCGGCTTTTTGGCTTTTCGGCTTTTTGGCTTTTGTGGCCTTTACGTGGGTTTTTGTGGCTTTTGTGGCTTTTCATTTCACAGTTCCTCTCTGTTTGTGTTTTTTTGCATCCTCTGCATTGCCAGTTTCGCTGCGGCAGGTGGCTTTTTGGCTTTGTGGCTTTTGGCGGCTTTATGGCTTTGGCTTTTCGCATCCTCTGCTTTCCCACTTGGTTTTTTGGCCTTGGCTTCCTGCATCCTCAGCATCGCAAGTTCCTCTCTGGTGCCCCCGCCACCCCCCTTTCGATTTCGATTAAATACACGCCTAATTGAAATCATCACTTTTTCGATCATCATGCAACAGCTACCTTTTTAGATTCTTTGCCCCTAATTTTTAGATCATCATGGGAGGCGGAAGTTTTTCAGGACTGGTTTGTCACCGCGAAAGGAAAACATGGGGCCGCGAAAGGACCGCGAATGGCCGGCGAAAGGGCCGTTTCCAAGAACTTATTTTGAACAACCCCCACGTGTGTTTGCGCGTGTTTGTTTGTTTGTTTGTTTGTTTGTTTGTTTGTTTGTTTGTTTTCCTGTTTGTCTGTTTGTTTGTCTGTCTGTTTGTTTGTTTGTGTGTGTTTCTGTGTGTGCTAGTGTGTTTCAAGGCTTGGGTCGTAGGCGGCATGTTCTTTCTTGGTGGACGATGAGTATTGTTTCCGTAGGTAGCGCGCAAGACTTTTCAGGATCGTTTAGACTGCGTGCTGCAGCCATGTCAACGGGTGCAGAGCCTGCACGCAGCCTGCGTGCACTTGCATGCTTACATTCTATTATCTTGTGGCTAGACGGGTTTTGGACTGTGTGACTGACCTAGCGCGCGCGCATAGTTTGGCTGGCCACTTGCTCGCGTAAGCTCCGATTATCCCGCCAAAGTCCTTGTACAGCTTCGGATGTGTTGAATAACGCCAAGGTACTTCAACATTGCTGCTCGCGCTGCTATGGCGGCGAGGAGCTTTCGAGAGACTTGTCTTCGCGCGGCCTGCTGGGCAGCAAGAAGTTTGTGTCACGATCGGGGTGGATGGAAGCTGTTTTTTCGAGGTTGTGATATGTTTGCCCAGTGGAAGGTCAATCAAGCGGGGGCAGGTGTCCTATTGCTCCGCGGTGCCAGGGTGATTGCTAATTGCATACATGTTTTTGCTTTTGCTACTGAGGTGCCAATATTTGAAACATTCGACGACGAGCTGATTGCGCGTATTGCAGACATCGTTGCTGCTCTTCTGACTGGTGCCATTGTGAAACAGAACATGTCTTTGCAGCACTTGGGAGTCAGTCGCGGGCAATAAGCACAGGGCTGTTGTTCTCAATCTACATCAATCCATTTGTTTGCCTCAGGAACGTCGCCTTTACCGTGAAGGCGAGAAGATTATCCAGCAGGGACAGCCAGTTGTTCAAAAACGTCGTGCGCCTCTACCCGGGGAAGCAAAAGCAGAACTGTTCATCGTTGCAAGCCCAGCTGGCTTGCTTGCAATGAAGCTGGCGTCTCAAATGCTGCCAGTATCAAAGACACTTGGTCTCGCCTTGTCATTAAAAAGTGTGATTGGGCAATGTTGGTCATTTTGCAGTGGTGCTGGAAGAATCATATTGTTGGGCGGGCCATTCTGGGTCTGAAGAGGTGTGAGGCGCTAAAATATGACAAAGCAACTCAGAGAGAACGTTGAATCATTGCGCCAGGCGGCGAGTGCGAGGCCACAATTCTTGTGGACAAGGCAAGCCAATCAGTTTCGGCGAATTCCAACTGAAAGCGAACAGGTTTTTGTTTGCTTTTCTGTGAGTTACCTGCCTGAGCAGTTGCCAACGCAGTAGTATCGTTGAAAGCTTGGCTCAGGTGGGATTTGGAGGTGGTCACGAATTGGAGGAGCATGCAGTGCGACGCTACCAAAAAGGCGCGCGGAGCCGTTTGTCTTTCTGAGAGTTCCTGGATGAGAAAGGCGAGCGCTTTGGTGAGCTGGGCTTTATTCATCGCTCACGCCGTGCAGCGTCAGTAACAGCGGCCTGTCTTGGAGCTATGCAGAAAAGACTGCGAGCGAGGCTGAGACAGGTTTAAAAGGCCTTGTTGATGATGGTGCTTTGGGCCAGACTTGTTGCATCTTGTTGCCATGTCAAGGGAGCGTTGGCATTCGAATTGGAAAAGATGAGGTATGCCGTTGCTGTCGCACTTGCTGTTCTCTAAGGCCACACAGGAGTCTGAGCTCTTTTGCCTGGACCGGGATACCTTCGAGCGCATAGTAGAGCTGGAGTTGAAACAGCAGGAGAACTATGTGCCTTGCAACGCCTTGGAAAGCTTGGGACTTCAATTAGTTTGGCATGATGCGGCCATATGCGGCCATGCCGTCTCAAATGCTCGCCATGCGGCCAAGGCGAGTGATCCTCGCAAAGCCATTGCGGACTTCTACAGCCCTGGCGACCATCGCGGTCCTGGGGGAGTAGCTTCTGGGGCTGGCAGCTCTCAATGGTTCGCCGTGTACCGACCAACAAGTCGAAACCTAGAGAAAAAGGTAAAAGTGTTGCGAATCCACATTTGCATAGGCTTGAAGATTGCTCGCGTGGGCTCACCTGTCCACGCTTCAAGGGCGGTGTTTGACATTTTGTCAACTGCGCCGGCTGTTCACGAAGCCAAGGAGACGCCTTGGCCAAGATGCTGAATCAAACTGCCGTGGGCAAGGGCTTGAATGTGAGACTTGGCATATGCTTCGAAGCTTGTTGGACGCATCGATGTAACCGCGGCTTAGTGAAACTCTTCAAGGCTCACCGCGTGATTGAGGCTCCCCAGCCGCTATGAAATCCAAGCCAATGATGGGCATGGAGGAAACGTTTCTTTGTGGCATGCCCTGCACATGCGTTGCACTGCAGGAAGGGCAAGTCTGCAAAGAAGAATCACCTCTCGGGCTTCGTTCCCTTTCTGCAAATCAGCGACAACAATCACAAGAAGGATCTTGAGGCCTCACCGCCAGACTCTTGGCGTATTGGGCGTGGCATTTTTGGGCAAGCAAATTTGGAAGTGGAGTCAACAGTTGTGATTCGTGACTTGAAGCTGACACTCATGTCCGCTCCCGTGTGCCAGGATGCCTGGGTCACCATTTATTTTCAGACCAGGGAATCCCAGGAAGCTGCCCACAAAGAGCTCGAGCGCGTGCACATGTCCGTCGCAGATTCGCCGGCGCCCATTGTTAGGGACGACGAATTTCCAGCAGTATACGGGCTGCGCATGCCTGAGACCATCATGCGTAAAGTTTACATTGATACAGCAGACCTTCAGTTCCAAGCAGGTTGGGAAACTGGCCGCGCATCAGAGCCGGCATTCATGGATATGAATTTGCATGCTTTGCGGAAAGCGAAAAGTGACCCAAAGATTGTCCTGTACCAATACGATGCCACCAACGAGTTGAACCCTCATGGCTTGCTGATCGCATACGCAGAAGAGCACGAGGTTGCGGGCAAGAAGATCAAGAGTGTGAAACCGGTGGTGTCAGACTTTGATACGTTCACCGTGGGGAGCAGAGGTGTGACTTATGAGCGCCTTCCCGAGCACCAAGTGGATCTCATGATCTGGAGCTTGGAACAGACCCGGGCAATTTTGAGTCAGCCTGGGACGAAATCTTGGACCTCACGCTGGCTGGAAGTGCTGCAGAAAGCGAATCAAGAAGGATTTCACCCCACCCTTCCTCAGTATGGCTTTGGCGACCCAACATCCTACAAGTTGATTGAGGAAGTGATCAAAGCAACGCACATTTCTGGCGCCGTGCGGCATGGAGCTGAATGTTTCAATTTTTACTTTCCGCAGGAGCTAAAGATGATGCGTGGGATGCAAGTTGTTTGGACATCCCTTCAACAATCGCCTGCCTTAGTTTGCTTGATATCCGCATTTTGTTGTTTCTATGTCACATGTGTTTTGGTCATGCTTGCGCCGCAGCTACGTGCACACACGCCCGTGTACACACGCTGGCTACTGTAGCACTAGCCATGCGTGCGTGTGGGTTTGATCAGACTGCTTGGTCAATTTGTGTCGTCGTGTTTGTGATTGCGCCGTTGATTTGGCACAACAGTCATCGCCATTTTGTGCAGTTGCACACGTATAGGTTCTTGCATGCGTTCTGCCCTGATTCAACTTTGGAAGTGTTGGCCGAGTGTGACAGGAGCTTGACAGCGAGTACTTGGTGGTGTGGGACGGCTTCAAAGACAAGCCATGGGCCTACCACAATCAGACCGAATTGCAAGATTTCCTTGCAAGTCGAATCCAGGAAGGCTATAGCTTTCCCATCAACCCTGTTTGGCCGCTGCGCGATGAAGGGTGGTATGCAATTTTTGATGCCCTGGTCCGAGCGGGCGCCTGTCTTAATAGCTGGTTTCCTCCAGAGAGGAGGATCGTGGAACTCGTCGAGGAGATTCGCAGTACCTTCCCCGATGGCTTTCAGGTGTCGTGCTTGAAACTTCTTTTGCACAGACGTTCTAGATCGCCTGCCTCACTGAATTCAAAAGCAGTTACACAGATCAAGTGCTTGTCTTCGGATTAATGACGCTGTGGTCCAGCGCAGCGCTTGTTGAAAGCTGAGGCTGACTCAACCCCCGCTGAGCTGGACCATGAGGAGCACGCAAACTTGGCCCGCTTCAAAGCCAGGAAGCGATGGCGAAAGCTGCGCTCCATCAGGAGCAGGGCTTGTCGCCAGATGAAACCATCAAGCTGCGCAGATGACATCGCTTGAAACAAGCAATGATCAACAATTGCTGTAGCACTGGCATGTTTGCAAAAGCTATATGGGTCTTTGGTTTGCTGTTTTTCGGATGGGATAAGCTGGGATGGTGTGGCAGCAGTTTCATGGCTGTGTGCTTAAGATTGCGAGGCCTCGCACCATGGTTTCTTGCTGGCTCATTTACGTGTATGTGTTGGTTGCGCTGAGGACTCTCGGGGTGATGAAGTCCATAAGCATGCAGAGCACGGTTGAGTGATGCAAGGTGCTGGGGACAGACTTGATGCTCAAGGCATTTATAGCACTTGTTCAGCTCTGTGTTCCAGCTGACCCGGGCAATACTTGTCGTGGTGATGTTCTTATGAATGCGTCCTGAAGGGACTTTCATTAAAGTGCTTCAAAGTAGATGTGCAACCTGCCTGCTGGCTGCCACAGACGCCAAGCAAGACGGCTAAGAGCAAATCCGAAAAGCGAGCGATGGCTTGTCCAACATTGCATGCAAACAATATTCCGTTGCTTTGGAAACAATGCAAATTTGCTTCTTTGCAATTGCCACAGCCTTCGGCTTGAAGCACTTTCACCTGCACCAGGTTGAGGCACTCATAAAGCCCTTCTTTACGCAAAGAATGGCAAGTGATGCTGATTGCGGCATTTGGCTGGCGAAGCTGCTTTTTGTTTCGCCGTTCACTCCAAGCTTCAAAAAGAGTTGGTCGAAATGATAAAGTCCTGCAGGGGCGCTCGACTCAATTTGTTTGGACATGACTCGGCTTGTTTGGGTGATTCGCCAACATGCCGAGCGAGTGGCGCCGCGAAGAACAGCAGCAATAGGCGCTTGACCAAAACTGGCGAGCAACTAGCAGTTGAAGACCAAAATGCTTCGCTACGCAGCTGAAGCCAGCAAGCATAAGCCACATTGAACTTTGCTGCTCGATGCCGTCGGAAGCCTCCCCATGTGGCCCAGCAGCTTTGCAGCCGAGCAGGTAGACGAGCGCCGCCGGGTAGCAGCCGAGCTCAACGAGAGGCGCAGCGTTTCACATGGATCACTGCAGATTGCATGTTGGAGTCATGAAGCGTTGCAATGCGTTTCAAAATGTTTCAATTGTTGAATGCCAAGCTGCAAGAGCCACGCCGAGGTTTCAAGAGGGCCTACTGGTGAAATTACTGGCGACCTCCCCTGGGGGCACTGAGGGGTCTGGCTTTGACACCTGGTCTTGCATTGGCGCTCTGCACTTGCTCCGGCCGCTGGGTGTCCGGCTTTGCTGACTAAATTCGCCACGGAAAAAGCGCCCTCCAGCCCAAGTTCTCACGGCATCACCCTCTGGGTTAGCTTCTCACATTGAAGCACAGTCAGAGCGCGAGCAACCCAACCGGTCGCCCGGGTGGAACAGCAGGTCCCGATTTCCTTTGGTTTTGTCCGTACTTGATGAAGAAATCCCTCTCTCTCAAGTGTTTTTCAATGATCACAGGCTAGCAGGGAGGAGGGCAGATGAATACGTTCATAGAGTTGCCAGGAGGCGCATTGAGGCTGCGCTTTTTGCTTCAGCGATCTTCAGCGCGCGCGTGCTTGCTTGACTTTCTTGTTGTTGCTCCGTATTTGGGGGGGCCCAGGACAAGAAGATTGCCCAGCTGCTGGGCTTGAGACACGGGCGACAGTCCAAGGAGGAGGGCTACAACCCGCTGCCGTGGCAGCTTGAGGAGCCCTTGCAAAGCCCAGGAACCCGGAAAAGCGAAAAGCGAAAAGCCTAAGCACGTGCCCCAAGATCATGGCCAATCTCCGGATGTGCAAATCCATGCCAAAGTGATTTGCGGCGCGGCTGCATGACCGAGCAAGTGTTTAGCAATCCAGCGATGTGATGCTGAACTTTGTTTGTTTTTCCCCTAAAGCTCAAAGCTTTCCTTCAAGGTTCTTTGCGCGCAGATTCGCCAGGAGTGGCCACGGTGCAAGGATCACTCGTCTGGCAAGGGCATTGCAGGCATGGAAACTGGAAGCATGTGTCTGTATCGGCTTCCTGCAGGCAGCCGGAATGAACAGTGGATGGACAAGTCACTCGCTTTCCGCAAGCAAAAGGCAACAAACAGGTGCCTCACATGCCCCCTTTCACGCGCTTGGATTGAAGGCAAGTTGCTCAGAGCAAGCGGTGTTTGCTTGCCACCTAAGACTGTCAAAACTTAACTGCAGCCTGTGACAATTGCTGGCCGACAGAGCGTTGTCACTTGGCCTGCCCAGTTCTCACCCACATGCGGCCAGGCAATTGGTTCACTTCTGCTTCTTTGGTGAGCCGCCGACTTGCGGAGCCTTCGCGTGAAAGCGAGAGTGGCACAGCTCTCTACGGTTGCAACCGCTATGCCTGTGGCAGGTGCGGCGGGGGGCAAAGCTAAAAAACATGGAACAGGGACTGACGCTTTGAACGTAGCCGTGGCGGTCAAAGCTTTCTGAGTACCAGCACGGCAATCAAGTTGATCACGTGTTGCCATGGCCAATGAAGCTACTCAAGTGTTGTTGACTAAAGGGCCCAAGGTATTGCAACTCGTTCTTGGAAGATGTCTGAATATCGCGCGAGCGCACATGCTTCAACATATAGATTGATGTGAGCCATAAGGCAGATGCGCCTTAAAAGCTTGTGGCGCTTGTGGTTTTGAGTGCTTTGCTGGCTGCGTGATTGAAAGCCTGACGGGCGGTTTGCTTCCAGGACCATGGAGTCGCACAAGGTTCTAGCAGCGCCTTGCCTTTGAAATTGCCGTGTGGCAACTTCAGGAGACGGCTCTTCAAGGCTTCTTTAAAGATACCCGGGTTGCTTAAATCAGGCACGCGCGTGCTTGTGTGTGCTTCGCAGGTTTTTCAGCCCCACCCCATCGTGGGCTGTGGCTTTGTGGAGGACGCAGGCACTAACCAGGCGGGAGAGTTCACTGGCTGCGCAGAAGAGTGGAAAGGACGGAGTGGGAGGAAGGAAAATCGAATAAAATGAAAAATCAACTGACAGCGCTGTGCTCCATGCCCCGTTGAAGGAGCGCCAGGCTTTAGCTCTCGGTGCTTGGGAACCCCCGACGACTGCACCTTCCGCCGTGCTGGTGGGGACTTTGGCGAGGATAATCGCGGTGTTTGGCGCGTGGACCAGATGCTTGGCGAACCCAAAGGCTGCGCAAGGTTCGTGCGTGTGTGTGTGACCCAGTGCGTTCTCGCTGTGAAGCATTATGTTGAAAGTTTAAGTTCTTGGCATGGCTCCCTGGAAGGCAGTCCATTGCATAAACACGCAGCATTGGAGCAGGCTGACACTAGAAGCCAACAGCTCTTTCAAAGGCAACAAGGCGCGTTTGCAGCTTCTCTTTGGCGTTCGGCTGCTTCTTGACTTCCCGCTTGCCAGCTGGTGGCTGAGGAAGTTCTTGTCTCAGAAACTGCACTTCAGCGGCCGCTTTGACCCCCAGTCCCCAGGCGCTCAACTCTTTGCGGAGGAGCCATTTGGGGGCAGCTATGTTTGGCCACCTTGACACCCTGTTTTCTGATTTGGGGGCAAGGGGGTTGAGTGTGTTTCATCACGGTCAGCACCCAGCCCTTCTGGATAGACCCGTTACCAGGAGCAGCGCCGGTTCAACCCGAAGCCCTCGAGGCAACAGTTTGAGGCGGGTGAAAAGATCCACACCATGGGCTACAACGAGATCATGGTTCAGGCAGGCTGCTCACGGCGCTTGGCTTGGGGTTCCATGTCCGTTTTTTGAGACAAGCCCAAATCTTGAATGGAGCACCAAAATGGCAACGGTTTCATTGTGGTTCCCCTCTAAAACAACTTCACAAGGGGGTTCCCTCAAAGCACAACTCCTCATACTTTTTTGGATTTGTGTTCGACTGAGAGTAGGGTTGCCTCACGGTATGCCAGTCGCCCGCAGGGATTGAACAATCTCTGTTCACAACAAAGTCAAACTACCCCTACTTTTAGAAGACTAGAAGCTCGTATTGCATCGTTTTGCCAACGCGTCTGCTTCACTTGGTTGCAACTGCGCCTTCTCAGTGCGTTGCTTGGGCGCAACCCATTCTTGAGCGGTTCGCGGGCACATGCATAGGCAACATGATGGCGCAACCGATGGCAGGTGGGCACGCCAAGCATGCTTTTTGAGGAGATGCGCAAGGACGCGGATCTCTGGTGCGAGCCGGCTTGCCAACCGCTTCACCGCTTGTCAGGGCTTGGCAAGCTGATGGCAAGCTGATGTGTACTTGCCTTTCGCCCGCAGGAAGGCGTCGTGCAAAAGCGCTTCAGCATAAACCAGCTGCGGCTCTGGCAGTGCCGCACCAACGGTGTCGCAGCCTTTGCGCGGGTGAAACTGCCACCCACGGAGCTGGATGAGCACACAAGGCAGGGGCTTTGTCAGCTTTGTGCTTGGCAAGGAAGTCGGCAGACAGCAGTTACTACAGTGCTAGCTTCGTGATGCTGCACAAATGCCGCATTTCAGAGACACGCTAAGTGGAGAAGTGGGCTCAAGGGTTTGAAAGCGTTCAATGTTTGTTTTGCCAGCAACGCGTGCTGCTGGTTTTGATTGAAATCGATGTTCGCAATCAGCTGAACTAGAACTGCGTTCCTGGCAGCTGTGGTCTCAATCCGTCCCTGCCGTCGACGCGGCTAACTGCTTAAATCGAGTCAAGACCAAGGGCGATGTGACTTAGAAGTCAATGACTGGCATCCGTGCGTTCGCAGCATAGTTCCTCAGAAATCGACCGACTGCGTGCGAGTTAGGCTCATGGGACCTGAGTCCAGTCCATTCGTCAGAGACAATGGGCAGAAGCATGAACGGTTTGCGCCCACGGCTTTCTTGCTGAAAAGCCGCATTGCAAGCGCATGCTGCCGCTTTCGCCGCCGTGTCATTCACACAGCGCCCAATTGCTCAAACACAGTGGAGGGACATGCTTCATTGGACAAGAGCCCGCACGCGCACTGCCACGCGAAGCACGTACGCCTTAAGTGGAGCAAACTTAGACAGCAAGACGAGTCGGTCAACAAACTGAGGCCGAAAAAACAATGACAAGCATACATGTTGAGGTTTTGCAACTTGCGTTGCTCCTGCATTGTGGGCAAGATGTGTTTGGCTACGGTTTTTAACCCTGAGCAATTCTTGAGAACCGGCCTTCTACATTTAGAGTAGTTTTGCCAGCGACGTTCAAGATTGAGCAGCGTTTCGCTCTACAGCCAGACCTTTTTGGTAGGTAGGACGCGCAAAGTGACCAAACTCGGAATATACAAAAAGGTCTTTTGTTTGGGCTTTCCTCTGAAGACCACTGCTGGTTGCCAGTTGCTGTCCCAGAAACCCAAAAAGAAGGTAGATGAAAACTGCAACAGGAGCAACATGTCGCAAATGCCCTCCAGGCAAGTGGAGAATTGCCGCTGGGAAGTGTTTCGCAAGATGCGAGACGCCTACGAACCTGGGTTGCAGTCGGCCATAGGCAATTCTGCTCGCATGTGGCTTGTGGCATAGGATGTGGCTTGTGGCCGGGCAGAGCCCACGCCAATCCTCTATTTCGACATGTCCGCGTTTGAGAAGCCCTTCTCTGCCCCGGACACTTGGCAGCACAGCGCAAATCTCACAAGCTGATGAGCGTAGGTCACCGCAAAGCATCACAGCCGGCTCTGTCAGACGCACTTATGCAGCAGGCGCAACAGCTTTGTGAGGCCACGGCGATTGCAGTGTGCCTTTTTTTTCTTCTTCTGTTTGTGGCAGAGCGCGGGCGTCAAACTAAGGACGTGCAGGAGCTGTTCCCCAGCCAAGAACGGTGCAACAGCAGTTTGGCGCAGCCGGAAAAGGGTGAGACGTTCTAGGGTGTGGGGCCATCGATGCTTGGGAGCCATTGAAGTTGCGATGGCCACGTCGTGTTTCCGCGACCATTTCTCGTGTCCAAGCATGGCTGGCATGCAAGGGGAAACAAGATCGCCCCAAAAGCAATCGTGCAAGCGACCGCAGAGCACGCAAAGTGACCACCCAATAAGCCCAAGAAGAGCTCAGAGAAACCAAGGCTTTAGCAAACGACCATATCATATGCAACTCGGCCACACAAGATGCTCCAAAAGAGCACAGACGCAAAGTGGCCGCTAAACATTGCAGTGATTCAGCCGGGCTTCCCAGGCCATGGCTCGTGCAGCGAGGCGCAGCGCTGACACTGAGTCGCTTCCTGGGGTGAAGCTTTTCGTGGCTTCCACGGGCTGGCCGTACAAACCGACGCATTCGCCAAAATCACCTTTGTTGGTGCTCGCCGTTGCGGAAGGAGAGCCGTATTTGTCGAGCTACGGCCATGTGTGCCGGAGGCACGGGGACTTTGTTTGCAAGGTGGCCAAACCGGATCATGACAACATCTTCCTGATCGACTTGTCGCAGGTGGGGACGTCCGAGGAGTGGAAAATGGAGGCCAAGAATCCAGGCAAGTCAACAAAGATGCTGGTGAAATGGTTTGCAAAGTTCAACTGCGTGAACGCAGCAGTCGTGGTCCATGGTGACTATTCGGGATTGGTTGCAAACCTGCTGGAGTCTCCCTTGGTAGGTGCCTCAAAACTTGCAAAAGTGTTCCTGCTCTCTCGCGCCGGCGCGCCGGTGCCACGGAAGCTGGTTGAGAGGTTAAGTTGCGCGGAAGTTCAGATGATGGAGCCCACCCCAGATGCAGTGGCCAGAGCATGGCGGGGGGCCAATGAAGATTACATAGAACCCGCTCTGGAGCAGCTGTATTTCATGTCGGTTGATTTTGTTTTGGATCCTCGGACCAAGCAGTTGGCGCAGAAGGCCAAGAACATAACTTCCATGGTTACAATGCCCATTAGTGACATAAGTTTGCAGGCAACAGCGCCCAAGGCGGAAGGAGCTACTTTCGAGGCAGGCAAGATTCTGTTTTGAGCTTCTGTTTTGGGACCTCGAGGACCAGGGAGATGTGTTGTTTAAATTGGGTTGGGCCTCATGCCCCTCAACTGAGTAATTGGGTTTGTTTTGCCCCAACCATGACGTTGAGCTCTGAAGGTGAAGGGCCCGGTTGGCGCAGCAGTACAGAACGTGCAGACGCACCATTTGAGATTGGGAATGGCATTCTCTGGTTTGGTTGTGCAAGTCCTGGCCGTGATTTCAACTGGGCCCACAGCGCGCATGATGCTGGCAGACACGGTTGGTTGTGTAGAAGCCTTCGTGCCAAAGGACGTGCAAGCTCAGATGCGCCAAGGGTGTTCCGTTTCTTTGGACGGATGGGTCACCAGTGTGGACGGCCATGTCTTCATTGTGGTGACCAAAGCCACTGCTGGAGAACTCAGGGAAGGTTATGGAACTGCTCAGCCAGGTCTCCGAAACACGACTGAAAGAACTCGGCGCTTTGGAGTGTTGTTGCTGCGTGGGTCCAAGTGCGTGCTGTCCCGCAAAGGCGCTATTGTTTCAGTGCCTTGTGGAGAAGCGAAGAGCTTTGAGACTGCAGAGCAAGCTGCGACGCATGCCGTTTGCGTGGCATGTGACATCTACCCAGATGAGTTTGTGATTCTTCGGGATGTCGCCCCAGCCGTAGTGTACGACAAAAGCGACGGACCCGGTGCGATTGTAACAATCTTTGCCGCCGTGGCCACCAATCCCCCTCCTCCAGGCAGCGAGGAGTCCGAGTCCGAAGATGAAGACGACCTCTATGATTGGTTTTCCTTTGGGCGGGCCATGTCTCGCTTGAACCATGCCCATGAGAAGAAAGCGGTAGCTGCCATTGCAGAAGTTGTAGCAGAAGCGGTTCGTGAAGGAATAGTTCTCCCGGACTACCCGCTGACATTTGGTTGCGCCCCGGCCGAGGTCACCACCCTGGCGCCTGCAGCCTTTCCAATGGAACCGATGGAACCGATGGACTTGGTCCCTGTGACTGTGCTCAGCGGTTTTCTGGGTGCTGGCAAAACTACTTTGCTTACCCACATCCTAAAAAACGTGGAAGGTATAAAGGTTGCGGTCATCGTGAACGACATGGCAGCGGTGAATATTGATTCTCAGTTTGTGGTGGCGGCAGACGTGCAACAGAAGATTGAGAAAGTTGTTGAAATGAGTAATGGATGCATTTGTTGCACGCTCCGTGAGGATCTGTTGAGCGGGATTGTTGAGCTCACGCAGCAGAAGAAGTATGACTACATCATTGTAGAATCTTCTGGTATTTCGGAGCCCCTCCCTGTTGCGGAGACATTCACCTTCGATGACAAGTCGAGCGGGCTCTTGTTGAAGGATGTGGCCCGTTTGGACACCATGGTGACAGTTGTAGACGGCGCCAACCTCTTCTCCAATCTAGAATCCTTGGAGACGACCAAGTCTAGTGGCCAAGCAGCCTATGAGGATGATGAGCGACACTTGGCGCAGCTCTTGGTTGACCAAATCGAGTTTGCCAACGTCATCCTTGTCAACAAATGCGACCTCCTATCTCTGGAGCAAGTTGCGGAGGTCAAGGCAGTGATCTCCCGGATGAACTCTGAGGCCGCTGTTTTTGAGACCACTCGCTCAAACGTCAGCCTCTCAGCTGTGTTGAACACGAAGCGCTTCACCATGGATGGTGCAGAGAAGCACGACATGTGGCTGAAGGAAGCCCGCATTGGTGAGCACAAGCCAGAGACAGCTGAGTTTGGCATCCGGCATTTCATCTACAAGCGGCACAAGCCATTCCACCCAGGCCGCTTTGCAAAGTTGGTGAACGCTCCCGAGGCACTTCCGGACGTGCTGCGGGCCAAGGGGTACGCATGGATCGCCAGCAAAGGAGGCTATGAGTTTGTGTCCATTTTTGAGGCAGTGGGTTTCTTGCGGAACCTTCGACAGGGACAGCCCTGGTGGGCAGCTCTGGAGAAAGATCTGTGGCCTGATGGTTTGTGGGAAGACTTGAAGCCTTTGTGGACTGACCCGCATGGAGATCGAGCCCAGGAAATCGTGTTCATTGGCAGATTCCAAGATCCCTCTACCATCGAAGCTTTGCTGGATCTTTGCCTCCTCACGGACAAGGACCAGTTTCCCTTTTCATTGCAAAGGTTCATCACTAAATACGAAAAGACAAAGAAGCAACCTCTTTTTATTTTTTTCTACGTCCACTGGGCTGGGAGGAGATGGCTTTGGAGACTTGGAACTTTGAAGGCCATGATCAGTTGCCATGGCAGTTGGGAGAGGATCAACGCCCACATGAGGGACATCTTGCAAGTGGCCCTTGCCCAGCGCCGGCTGCATGATTTTTGTCTAGGCATAGAGGTTGGCGGGTGTGCTTCAATAGTGTTGGGCCCAGCGCAATCATGTAAAGATGGGACGGCAGAATACTGGCTTGAGGCCACCACTTCGGCAGCACACCTGTACCTCGTTGTGTGCCTTTTCATGGAAGGTTTGAAGAATTCGACCTGGAGCCACTGGCCGCACTGCATCTTCCAGTGCGACACGAGGGTAGTGATTTCATTCCAAGCTTCATAGTGCTGCAAAGGAAGTTCCCTTGGCACGTTCATGTGCTTGGGACTGACAGCCACGAGGCCAGTTATGTAGAGGGGCGCAATGGTTCGAAACTTTTATCTTCACCGAGCCGAAGAAAAGCCAATCAAATCACACAGATCAAAGGCAGTTGAGTATTCACGACCCGTAGACCCTCAAAGAGGTGCCCCAAATGCATGTGCGGTTGAGGCCTCTTGTACTGACTTTGGCTCAAGGTTGCCTATCATAAAAGCAGGGTTAGCGCTCACTTGCCGGACTGGGGTTAATAAGGGTCCCGGTTTCTGGTTCGCTGAGGCCCCTTCGGTCCGGTAAGTTCGCGCACCTCGTGCATCCGGCTTTCCCAGCCAGAGGCCAACGAGGCGGGTGGGTGCACCGTCGAAAGCTTTATTGCGAAGATTTCGACTCACTCACCCGGTGGGCTTGGCAGCAGTTGTGCATCGGGGTCGAAAGGGTTGCCTGGGAGGAAGCTTCGGACTTGCACCGGAGCGGCCGATTTCACTGACAACAATTATCGGCATTTGCGTGACGCCTACCCCGACCTCTATAACGCTGTCATTGCTCGTGGCCGCCATCGGCAAAGTCCACTTGTTCAGCGGGCACAGGCCGCAGCTCAAGGCGCGGCAGGACAGGACGGCACACCTGTTCAGCAACCCGGCACCCCGACAAGTCCGTCGTCGACGCCAACGGTGTCTACTGCACAGGCTGCAGCTCCAAGCCCAGCGGCAGTTACATCGACATCCGGGCCGGCAGACCAGGCTGCAGCTCCAAGCGCAGCGGTGCCAGTCAGCCCATTTGGAAGAGGTCCACTTTGAGGAGGAGGTCACCGATTCCGTGCCGCAGACAGCCAAAGCGCCCGAGATCCAGGCCACCGCCCAGGGCTGCAGCCAAAAGACGCAGCCAGGTTAGTGCGCTCCGCGTCCTCAACCTGCACGTGCAGCCGGCCTCTTCTTCTCGCGCCGTCCAACTCCGCGTATCCAATTACAAGAGTGGACAGCACCTGAATTTGGATCTTGCAGCATCGGCACGATTGAGTCCCACCGAGGCCAACACTGCGGGCACATCAAGCTCCGGACGATCCGTACGAATGGCCGGACTCATATTGGCACAGGCCTCCGAGGGCAGATTCGATCTGCTGGGCGGAACCATCAGGCCGTGCATCATCGTTGACGACAACAACGCAGTCCTCAAAAAGTGTCGCACGGTGGGTGTATTTGCCATGGGGGTTGGCGCCGGGACTCTAACCGCGCCCTGTACGACCCGCTTGACGAGCTCGACGGGTACCTCAACAAGCATCGTCGCCTTTTGCGCCCAGCAAGGGTACTAGAGCAATCCGAGTACTTGGAGGAGCCCGGCCGTCGGCGGCCAGGGGCTTTTCCGCTGATCTTGTGTTGCCGGAGGCTGCAGCTTAAGCGCAGCGGGTGTATCAGCGCCGCACCACCACCCGGAAGCGAAGTGCATTTTGCTCGCACCGGTTGTAAATAAATCCATCTCTGCCAAGGCCGCAGCTTGAAGCGCGGTGTGTGCGCAAACGTGAGCCTGGCCTCAGTTTAAACAGTGTTTCCGACATGGCTTCAGGGATATCCCCACCATCGCCAAAAAGGTCAAGGTCAAGTTCCGGGAAAGATTCTAATGAAGGAGGCCCTGAACTTTGTGAGATCGGTGCCCGCAACGTCCGTAGCTTGCGTAGGTTCTAGATCATCCTCATCAAGAGATGTCCGTAGCCGTGATCGCAACACGACTCCTCCCTGTAGAGCACCCATAGAAGAGGAACCCGATTCAGACTCTACAGCAAGTATAGCCGACTGGTGCCTAATCCCGATCCATCTAGGATTTGAGTGCTGCTCCTTTTGTGGCCGGATCGGCATTGCAACGCGATGCCTCAATCATTGCTGACCCAGGCCGCCAACATTGCTCTTCATGAGCATCGAGCCGCAGACGAGGCCCGAGAAAGGCTAGGGAGGTAGTCGTCGCGCAACAGCGGGAACAGACCTTCAGACAGCAGGCAACGGAGCTGACATACCAAGCAAGCAGTCGAGCGAGCTCGCGCAGACTGCATTAGCTGAACAGGCTGCAATGCGTTCGCAACAGGAAGCCCAAAGCCATGTTCAACAAGTGAGGCAGGAAGCCCAAGGCCATGTCCACTTGTTAAGACAGGAAGCCGTAAGCCATGTTGAGCGTGCTAGGCATGAAGCTGAACAGACAAGGTCGGCTGCAGAGGCCGAGGTAGCAAGGTTGCGACAGGAGGCCCTGCAGAAGATTTCCACACGGGACCAGAAGATCCTCCAGCAAGGCAAGTTGATAGATACATTATAGGTTGTGAGAACCTTTTAATGTCACAACGTCTTGCTGACCTAGAAAGGGCTGTTGCATCCATGGCACAAAATGTTCCAGTTCCACATGAAGGTCAAAATCCTACGGATCCCGAGTCATCGGGGCAAAGTGTCGTTGGACGTGACCTTCAGGATCACAGGCTCCCCAAAGTCAAGGGCCTGTTGATGCCTCACGTGAGCAGTGTCCCCCAAAGCATGCAGCTCAAGGCGCGTCGGGTAGTTCGAGTAGCGACCCCACGTGCTCCTGTTGGTTTCCCAAAATCCTTCGGACCCCCGCAACCTGACGACAAGTCAGACGCCAAGCGTGTCAACTCCAGGATGGTGATCCGCGAGCACAACCACGAGGCGCACCGGATGCCGCTCGGACTCAGGACAAAAGGGGGCCTGGAGACGTCCAGCAACAAATTTCCTCTTTAACTGAGTTGGTTCATCAGCTTTCTAAAGTAGCACTCCTTCTAACCTCACAAAGGCAGTGTCCAAGACAGCAAAGATGTCAGCCGCCGAAAAGGCAAAAGTTCCACGTACGTTCTGCGCCTATGATGCGTGTAGGGCCAAGTCATGTGCCTTCCTCCACTCACCAACTGAGAAGTACACCGGGCCACCTTGAAGGGCCCTCAACAAGTGTTGGCGAAATCTCCGTCTGCTGTCGCCGCCGTGCTTCCCGCAGTCCCAAGTTTCCCTGCCAAGATCAGTAATTATATTAAGAGTCCCAGATCCATGGGGTTTAGACCTTACCTCAATTTATCTCAAATTATCTCAAATTATCTCAAATTATCTTATTTTTGCATCTAATGTGCAAAAAGATGCAAAAAAATGCAAAAAGATGCAAAAATGCAAAAAGATGCAAAAAAGTGCAAAAACATGCAAAAAAGTGCAAAACATGCAAAAAAGTGCCAAAAATGCAAAAAAGTGCAAAAAAACACAATGCAACAAAATGCCCAAAAAACTGCAACAAAATGCAAAAACATGCAACAAAATACAAAAAAAAACAAAAAGAGTGCAAAAACAATGCAAACATACATGACACAAATGCAAACAAGGACAAACACATGCAAGAACATACAACATGCATTAAGTTTGTGTCACTCAATTCTATAATAATGATTATTTTTTATTGTCGCATCAGTGAGTCGCAAGTCATCATGAGCGCACGTTAGCGCCAGCAACGTTGGACCATTCCATTGTCCATCATCATTATTCATTCTTGACGTCGCTGGCGAGCCAGCTCAAAAAAATACTCTGCCATGCGTCAAGTCAAGCGCTTTCCGTAACTTGTGGCAAGGACAGGTGCACGGATCACGGTCATCATCTTCACAGATCGTTGGACTGGGGTATTCTTGCACATAAGTCGAATCAAAGTTCGAGCAATGGGAGCAATGCATTGTCTTGCGATTGTCATTGATGATCATGAGCACTGCGCCACGCATGCCAGTAACAAAGGTCACAGGTTCCCGATTGACGTTCAGCTGACTCGGCAACTGAACAAACGCTTCATGTCCAACCCACATAATAGTCACACCAGGACGACAACACATGCCGCGCCGGTCACCGGTCCTGAAATCTGTCAGAATAGATTCTGCAAGAAATTCTGGGCAAGGTTCACGTTCCAGTTCCGAGTCCAGCTCCGATAAATCTGACTGCTCGACGTCGTCATTGTCATTCCCCTGCTGAAGCTCCGGCTCAGTCATTTCAACTCCCCAGTCCCGTGGCTGAGCGTCAGTCCAGTCAGGCTGAGGAAGTTCGATTTGACACACTGTCGCACTGGCTTCAACTTCTGATTCTGAAGATTCAGTGTGACACACTGTCTGACTTGCAGGAGAATCTGTCACTGTCCGACGCTTCTTATCAGCAGGCAAGCCAGTTGACATGAGGCTTCAATGTCAATGGTTCACAAAATCTCAATCAAGCACGTTGAGTCAACTGCTACTGACAGGCTTGAGCCGCAAAACCGCATCTCAAGCATGACTGGAATGTTTGCAGCCTGAACATGGGTCATGGTTCATGTCATTCATGATGGCATGTGCTGCTGACAGGCTGCATCTCAAGCATGACTGGAATGTTTGCAGCCTGAACATGGGTCATGGTTCATGTCATTCAATGATGCATGTGCGCGCACGGCTGTTGCCATAAACTCAAATGAAGTCAGGATATTTATAGAGCGACAACTTGTTTCTTCCTCTTGTTCCATTGACTGCTGGGCCTCAAGTGAGCTTCCGCACTCACGCATCTAAACTCACTTGCGCAGCCCTGTTGCTGTTTTCCAAAGTCGCACACAGTCGAGTCAAGCAGTTCGCCCATCAGTTAAAAGTTGCAGCTCCGCTCTGTACTGGAGCAACACACTGCTTGTCTATTATTGGCTGAAGATCAATCCAGCACGAGGCCATGACGCATTGAATATGCACGAGCAAGCTTGTGACAGGCACATGAACACTGAGGGCCACAATGGTGCGCTATGCCGCACGCAGAGCACCAAAGAACACGATCTCGCGCAGCCAAAGTAATAGTTCCAGCCCTGGCAGTAAAAAACCACACCTTTTTATGCATCGATGTGCTGTAGCTCACGGGCATCCGAACAAACCAGTCACCTTCGATGAACTTGAACTTGCGATCGGCAGTTGGTAAGGGCATCTGCATCTGGTCAGCAAGCACTTCTTGAAGCACCACTGGGCGCAGATCTCCCGTGTCTGGAGTCGAAGAGCGTGGTCGTTTTTTTGTGGGAATCACATCTTGGGGTCCACTCAAGGTGCCCTCCTGGCATGTGGCCTCCTGGTGT